ATTATTCATCTTCACTTTTTTTCATTTGAATATTTCGCTAGCCCTCTTCTCGCCGCCTATTAGCCGTGTTGTGTGTGTAAGTAATTATTGTTAGAATTATTATTATTTTTTCAATATTGTAATATCGTATTTTTTACCAACTATTATTTATTACAAAGAATCTTACCCAATACTCTATTAATTTATTTGCGTGATATATTTGCGTTTTTTCTTCTTTTTCACTTTACCACATTTATATTCGCGTGTGTGTCTTCAAGTCGTCCGTTTACTTTGCGGTTAATTATTATATCCAAGTGACCATATATTACTATATATATATCCATATCCAATACATCCTTTCATAGCAGGTCAGCTGTCTAAAAAGCCCTTATACTTTATATACTCCGCAGGCAGATATCAGTTCTTACATATAAATATATACATATATTTGTGTTGTATTTATTAAGGTTCCTTTTTGCTATTTATTTGTTATCAAGTCACTCGCAATCACCGACCACCTACCGAACTATCATATCCAATTTTCTAACTAGCTTTACTCTCACCCACTTCCTTCTATTATTTTTTATTCCTCTTTGCTCAAACTATAAAGATAAATACTAATTATCTCTCAAGATGGCAATGGATTTAAGAGTGGGGAATAAATATCGGATAGGAAGGAAGATTGGTTCTGGCTCCTTTGGCGACATTTATCTCGGTGAGTGTTTCATACGCTTACTAAATCCTTTTGTAGTGCGTTTGTCTTGCGTGTATGTGCTTGTCAACAACAACGACGATAGTAATCTCAGTTGGTTGGATGGAATAATAACTAATGTTATTGCGATAGAATTATCCAAGGAACCTTTTCTTCAATCCCTTTTCTAATATTTTTATCTCTTGCTTTTCTTTTTAAAAGCTTTTCCTTAAGACTAGAAACCACACTAATTTTTTTACCTCTTCACATCAAATACTCATCATCGTCGATTAGATGTTTCAATATTATTCTCGCATCGAAATATGTTTATTTTCTCGACTATTAGTTAATGAATCATCATCATACCTTTCATACACAAAATAGGTACTAATATCATCAATGGTGAAGAAGTTGCCATTAAGCTTGAATCTATCAAAGCTAAACATCCACAATTAGAATACGAAGCTAAAGTATACAAAACACTTGCCGGTGGCGTGGGTATCCCATTTGTCCGCTGGTACGGCACAGAATGCGATTACAATGCAATGGTGATTGACTTGCTCGGCCCATCATTGGAAGATTTATTTAACTTTTGTAATCGTAAATTCTCATTAAAAACAGTATTGTTATTGGCCGATCAATTGGTAGTTACATTTTCCGAACTATCCCGCAAATTTTTATTTATTCCACTTTCGAATACTGATAAAATCTTTTCCTTTAATCCTTTGAACAATAAATAACAACC